AGCCCCAATATGGCTCCAAGTCTCGAGAGGCATGCGAGTTCAATGTGCAAATCAGTGCAATTACTAGTCATCGAAACACCCCTCACCCCTCATCGAAGCACCATCGAAGCACCTCGGGAAGCTCTTTGTGATCCTTGTTTTCCCGAAGACGGCTGCGCAACTGCATGCGTCCTGCCGCCCCTGACTCACCGACTCCCCTGCTGATCGTTTCTGGATGGGCTGGCGGGGATACTTTTAGTCAGCGGCCGCAGGCGAGAGCGCCAGCGGCGAGTCCAGTCAGAGCGGGCCGCGCAAAGACGAATTAGCCTAAAACGGTGGGCCGAAGCCTCACGCGGCACCTCGGCGGCCAGGCCGGCGAGTGGAAGGGGGCTGACGGCAACTGCTGGGGAGCTGCACTGCCAGGGTGCACGCATGCAACGCGCTGCAAAGATGGGCTGGCTGCCGGGGTGGCCGGCGGCCAGGGTTTGCGAGCTACGAGTGAATTGAGTGCAGGGGCGTAGGCACCCATGGAACCGCGAAAATACCAGGGTGGCCGAAGCCAAGTGAACCGACTGCCACAAGCCGAACTGTGTGCCCAATGTAGGGCGTGAGCATCGGCGAGCTGCGCAGTACCAGGGTGGCCGAAGTCAGGTGGTCCAACAGCCTCGAATCGCAATGAACGCGAGTGAATTGAGCAACCGAAGCTGCAGCGCGGCTAAAATGGCGCGTGGGGACACCGCGAAGTGGCCAGGGAAGCAACTCAGAGAAACCCAAGAAGCGGGCCGAGGCCTGACGGGTCCACGGGGTGGCGCTAGCAAAGTCGCGCACCGGAAGCCCCGAAAAGCGGGGAAGCGTGATCCGCAGTCAGCACGCCAAGGGTGGCGACAGACGGGCACGGACACAGCAGGGCGAACACCGGCACTGGAGCCGAGGTCGCGGCCGCGGCGCGGTGGAGCCACGGAAGTGCCTAGGCTAAACCACAGGCGCCCGTACTTAGCCCCCGCCCCAAAGGGGGGGGTGGCGCAAATTGCGCGGAAACGAAAGGCCAGGACCGGTGGGGGACGGCACCGCCGAACTGGCGAGGGGACCAGGGGCCCAGCCGCGGGGGGGCCACCCCGGCACGGGAGGGCGCCCGGGGGCGCGGGGGAGTGACGCGCTACGAGTGAAAACAACTACAGCAGGCCAAAGGCCGTCGGGGGACAAGTGGACCACGGCCCCAGCGGCAGTCCACAAGCCAGCATTGCCAGCAGGCCGCTGCCCGTGACCCAAGGGCGGGGGGCAGCGGGGGCTGGGCAGGGAGTGGCACCAGGGAAGTAACGACGCCTGCAAGTCCGGCAACGACCACAGCAAGATGTGCGGCCATTGCGTCCACGGTGAAACAAACGGGGGCCGCCGACGCGGGCCCTCGTCCCAGGCCACCATCCACTCGTGATGCCTGAGGACCATACCAGGGGTGGCTGACGGCCACTGCTTGCCAACTGATGACATCAAGCGAGAAACCATTGGCCTAGCGGGCCCTGCTTTAGTTGGGAAGAGCGATAAGATCGAACCGCGTTCCTTTGTGGCCAAACGGGCCCTGTTTCAGCTGGAGAATCCGAGGCCCAACCACGGCGAACTCTGCTGGCCTGACGGGCCCTGCACCACTTGGAGAGGTCTGCTGTCCCCAAGGGTGCCTGGTGAGCGTCTGGCCCCGTGCGTCGGGGGCACGCGTGCCTGGGCAGCCTGCGGGGGAGAGGGAGGCACGCCCTGCAACCTGTCGACACTGTGAGCTGCCTTGCAAAGAGGAGGCGCCGCCCTGCCGAAGTCCTGCCGCACGGGCCCCATTATTCTTCGTAGTCTGTTGGCAAGCAGGGATGCCCGGTGGGTCGTCGGCGCTGGGGCGCCAGCGGGGCAACGCCGCCGCCGCCGCCGGCGCGGCGCCGGCAGCGGCGGCGGCGGCGGCGGCAGCAGCGCCCGCGGCGACAGCGGCCGCCGCGCAGCGCGCGGGGCCGCAGGCCGCCGCCGCCGGAAAGGCGGGGGCGGCAGCGGCAGCGGCAGAAGCAGCGGCGGCGGCCGCGCCGCCGGCGGCCGCGGGGGCGGCCGCGGCGGTGCCGGCCACCGCGCGCTCCGCCGCCGCCGCCGTCGATCGGCGGGATGCGGCAGCGGCGGCGGCAGCGGGAGCGGCAGCGGCCGCCGGGAAGGCAGCCGCGACGCCGCCCATGGCGCCGCCGGCCGCCGCCGCCGCCGGAGGGGAGCCAGCGGCGGCGGCCGCGGGAGGGAAGCGGCGGCGGCGGCGGCAGCGGCGGCCGCGGCGCCGGCGGCCACTGCGTTCGCCGAGGGGTGGCGCCGGCCGCCGCAGCCGGGGGGGCGGGAGTCGCAAGGCGGATTGTGTCCCGCGTCACCCGTGGGGCGTCTGGGCAGCGCGGGCAGGGCGCCCGCGGGCGCGGCGCGGCGCGGCGGGAGCCGTCGGTGTGAAGGGTTTGCGGCGCCAGCGCCACGTGCGGGAGCGCTTGTCCTCCCATCGCCGCTGTCGCCGCCGCCTCGCTTTCCCCCGGCCTGCCGGTCATCGCCGCCCCAGGCTTGCGACCAGGGCCAGGTGCCCCAGACCCAGGGTTGCCGGGAGCTTGATGCGCGCCCCTTGTACCGAGGGGCGCTCGTGCCCTGGTTCCCTGACCACTTGTCGCGCTCGCGATCCCATCTGACCTGGAGCTCATGCCGGCGGTCCATCTCGTAGGCATCGCACCCGCAGCGCCTCCAGGCGTCGAGGAAGGCGCGGCAGGTGCCTTCAGGGTTCCGAGCGGGGTCGCTCTTCGGGCCGTTGGCCCCTGCTGGGTGCTTGCGGGTGCAAGCGCGCCAGATGCTGCTGGAACCCCCTCCCCAGGTCTTTCGGAGGCGGGAGATCTTGGCCGCGGGTGCTTCCCCGACCCTGTCGAGGTCGACTCCGCCCAAAAGGTTCTTTGTACATGCGACCGCCATCGACGGGGTCGATCAGGTCGTCGAAGACCCGTTTAGAACCCCAGTCGTGGGGGTTGGAGAGCCCAGAGGTCTGGAAGGACTGTTTTTTAGTCCGGTGATTATGTTATGTATGTTGGTCATTATTTATAGTCCCCTTACATATTCGTGTTACATGGTAGTTCGTTAATTATATACAGTTATTGTTTTTTTTGCTCTGCGCGAAAATGATTGACGGTTTGAGCCAAGATGGCCAGTGGATACACGATCGTGCACGCACCTTCTTGAGCCATAACAAGAGAGCACGGCTCGAGGAGGATGGAGGAAGAGGTCGAGGAGGATGAGGACGAGGTCGAGGGGGCGAGGGAAGGGGGAGATGGAACGAAGTAGTGGAAAAAGGGGGCACGAGTGTGCGTGGACCGCGACATGCATGCAACGCTTGGCTTTCGAAAACCTTTCCAGGCCCCAGGGCTGTCCAGGAGCGAAAATATCTGCCCGCGGGAAGGGCGCGACGCACTGGTCATCAAAAACCAAGCGTTGTGCATTATGGGGGCAATTCCACGTGCGCATCTTGCACATGGTTGTAGAAGAGGATGATCGGGGAGGAAGGGGGGGGCGAAGGGGGGGGAAGATGATAAGAACGAGAACGAGATAAAGTATGAAAGGGGGGATGGGGAGGACGATAAAGGAGAAAGAGGATAGGGAGGAGGAGGAGGAGGAACAAAAGGGGGATGGGGAGGATGAGTAGTCGTAGTAGCAGTAGTAGTAGTAATAATAGTAGTAGTGGTAGTAGTAGTAGTAGTAGTAGTAGTAGTAGTAGTAGTAGTAGTAGGAGGAGGAGGAGGAGGAGGAGGAGGAGAAATATGAGGGGGGGGGGGGAACATGAGGAGGGATAAGACGATTACGACTAATAATAATAAGAAGGCAATGACCAGTAATAACACGAAACGTAAGAATAATACTGCGACGAAGACGACGAGAATTGGGAGGGGGAGTTGGATGGGGGAGGAGGAAGATGAGGAGACGCATGAAGGGGGAGGAGACAGGAGGAGGAGGAGGTGGAGTAGGAGAAGGAGCAGGAAACGCATGAAAAGGAGGAGAAGGAGGAAGAGAAAGATGACGACACGCAGGAGAGGAGAGCCATCACAATTTCCACGCGACGACGGGCCGCAGGTCGTCTGTACTGCACCTGCGCCCGTGATTGACGCGCGGCGGCGGCGGCCGCCGCCGCCGCGTCTGGCTGGCCTCATCGGCTCCTCTGGCCGCGAGTCCTCCTGCGCCTCCTCCGCCGCCTGCCTTCTCCGCCTGGGCTCTTGGCCACGACCCGCGCTCCTTGGCGCAGTCCTTGCTCGCTCGTCGGAGCGCCCCTGGATGAGTCGGTCCTCGGCGTACCTCCTTTCACCAGCGATAGTGATCCGTTGTGCCACCTGACTGTGATGCCATCCTCCGTGATGGCACTGATGTTGCCCGTCTTGCCTTTGAAGGCGACGTCGTCGCCGACGCAGACGTGGCGCTCGAATCTGTGCACGAGGCCGCCCTCGTGGGAACAGATGCACGGCCGCGTCGAGCAGAGACGGGAAGCAAGGTGGACGTGGGCGACGGGGGGAGGAGGATGATGAGGAGGAGGAGGAGGACGGAAGAGGATGAATGGGGATGATGGGGGGAGGTGGAGGGGGAGGGGGAGGCGGAGGAGGATGAGGAGGAGGAAGAAGAGGAGCAGGATGATGAGATGGAAGGGGGGAGTGGATGAGGAGACGGAGGAGGATGACGGGGAGGACGAGGAGGGTCAGGATGAGGATGCGGTTGGTACCGATCATCGATTGTCACCGCTAACGGTGAACATCGATGAGTGTCGGTTACCACCGCCTTTGTGCGATGGACGGGGATGCAGCGCGAGCGAGGGTCCTGCGCATCCGCTGTCCTCCTCGGCAGCTTCCAGCAGTCTGGCGGCACCTTCCCGCGCCTCCGCACCCACTCGCCGCCCGTGTTCCTCTCCAGGAGCAGCTCGGCGGCCTGCTCAGCCTAAGAGGAGAGAGGCGAGAGGAGGGCAACACATAAGGAACGCGCGAGGAGGGATTGATGACTCCAACCGTGTAGTCGGGGTAGGTGTAGTCGGAGCTGTGGCTGGAGCCCTCCACCTCGCTCAGCGCAGTGCCTCCTCCATGGGCGCCCTCGCTGTACTGGCTGCTGCGCGCCGCCTCCGCCATCTGCATGGGCGTGCTCCTTGGCGCATGGCTCCGACCACGCTGTCCAGCATCGTCCGACACAGGCACCACCGTGCGCACCGAACACCTGGAGCTGCTAGCAGGTATCTCTGTCGGACTTGGCAGCTCAGTCGGAGTGGGTATCTGAGTCGGACTGGACGGCGGCAGCCTCGACGCGGGCTCGGCGCGGCACCCCTCCGATTTCACCTCTGTCGACAACAGGGGGCGCATAGAGGAGGAGAAGGAAGCGGGTGAGGATGCGGATGATAAGGATGAATTTGAGGAGGCCGATTACACCGACGAGAATGAGGGATAACGAAGATTATCATGACTAATCGGAACATTACTAGCATATGACAATGCGAGGAGGAAGAGGACGAGACGGATTAGAATGACGGGGATGACCTCAACGTCGTCGTCGACGGTCGCCGCCAATGCCATCTGCACGTCCAACAAGTATTGCCGGTCGAGCATCTCATCGGTCTCTGCCACTAGATCCTCAGTTGCCGTGTCCACAGCGACTAGTTGTCTCCTCTGCCTATCTTTCTGCATGCCGATCAGCTCGCCGCTCAGAAGACGTTCTCGTAGTACTGCTTCGCGATGCTGATTGGCCGCGGTCGCCATCGCCTTGGCAGATCGCCGCGTGTCCTCCTCAGCCTTTGCCATGTAGATACGCTCCATGCGCTCTGCCCGCCTGGTGTCGCGCTCCTCCTGCTCCCGCTCCCTCTTCCGTGCCCGCAGCAGCTGCATTGCAGCCTCGAGGCGATCTGCGTCGACGGCGCTGGCGTCGCCGTCCACGTCCACGATGTCTGATCGCCATGTCGCCCGCGCCATCCTCCGCGGCGTCGTGCTCCTCCTCATCCTCCTCCTCCGATCAGCGCTCTCACCATCGTCGCGTTCTCGGCGGCGGCCTCGACTCTCGCTCCGCCGCCTAGCCCTCCTGCCTGTGGATGAACGGGGCTGGGTGGGTATATAACGGGGGTGGGGAAGAGTGGTATTGGGATGGTGAGTGAGAGGATGCCCACCTTCTGGCCGAGAGCCAACCACGCTGGCGCTGACCAGGATGAGCCCCCGCCCGCTGTGGCCAGATGGCATTCGCAGCGGTGCCCCCCGTCTCCACGCGTGGCGGGGGGATGCGCCCGAGGCGCTCGAAGCCCAAGTGGCTGTGGGGGCAGCGGGTGGGATCCCCCGACCGTCCCTTTCGACGTGATCGACAGCCCCCTCCTCCTCCCTCCTCGTCGTCGGTGTCCTCATCGGCATCCGTGTCATCATCCCCCCTCGTGCTCATCTTCCCACATGCCTCCTTCATTCCCCGTCATCTGCACCCCCACCTCCTCCAGGCCGTCACGTGCTGGACATATGTCGGTTGCGACCCCACGCGCACGCCCCCCCGTTGCAACCGAGCCAGACCCAGGGAGTCTGCGGAAACACGGCTGGCCTGTGACGGGCTACGATGGCGATGAGGTTGTTGATGGTGGTAGTGATGATGGTGGTGTTGGTGGCGCGCATGTTGATGATGTTGTTGATGATGATGGCGATGGCAACGATAATACATATGCTAATGTTGAGTGTGATGGGTACGATGCTGGTGTTGGTGATGCCAATGACGATCGTGATGATGGCTGCGTTGCTGATGAAGCTGCTGAATGTACACATGAGGATGTTGATGTTGATGATGATGGTGATGACAATGATGATGGCGGTGAGTGTGATACCGATGGTAGTGGCCATGATGATGACGATGCGGGGATGATGGGTTGATCAGGAGCCCGATGATGTCTGGCCAATAGAAATAATTCCACCCCCAGGGTCGCGCGACGGTTACTGCTGCACGGGAGGAGCAGCATATAAAAGATAGTGGTGACAGGGAAGAGCAGGAGCCCCATCACTAGGGTTAGGCCTGATTGGGGCGATGGTGGCTGGAGGGTGGACAGGGGGGTGACATGCGTCCTATGTGCGCCAGACTTGTCGGTGTGCTCTAGCATCTACGTCAACATGTGCATGCGAGCGAACGCTGTCGGTGATGTTGGCCGACCTGTCATCTGCGATTGTGTAGTTCACGTGTGATATATAGTGTCCGTATACTAGCGATGCGACGCGGGTCATTGGTGCGTCTGTGTCTAACAACCCATATCCATGCAGCCCCCGACAACGTTCGCCCGCCCGAGACACCCCCAAACCTCAGCGCGCGCTCATGGAGCGCCCGCTGTCAGACAACAGAACGCGAACCACGATGTGCGCCAACATGGCGCAGAAGTCGCTCGGGTAGTGCGCAGGCGAACTCATGGCAGACCTGCGGCCGTTGTACCACCCCTTCTTGCTCCACCCAGTCGCACCAGTACTCTTGAACCTACGGCCCACTGGAGCTAGTGGGCGAGCGCGGTCACCCAATCTCGATTGCGCATCCTTCTTAGATTTGACAAGCTGGCGTAGAGCTGCATCGTCACCCGTAGCCCACAGTACCGTTGGTTTCAGAGTAGGTGCTCCCCAGCCTCCCATCCAGAAGAAGTATCGTTTAACCTGGATTCGGATCATTGCCTTGGCAACGGCTGCGTCGTGAAAGTACATGGAGCCGAGCGGCTGCTCGATCGCGACGTAGACGCCCCTACTCGTCGCCAGGAAGACGATGTACGACATGCAAGTGATGACACCACAACGCGCGACCGCCACAGTCCCTAGACTCGGAACTGCACGAGCTCATCGACGTTCACCGTGTTCGGTGATCATCGGTGAGCTTCGGTGAGCCCTGTCCCCCGTCCCCCTTCTGTACGTGTAGATTAAAACCAGACCCCACACTGTGCACATTTATTTACCACATACATTGCTATCTACATAGTGTGCGTGCCCCCCGAGACGTGTTCAAGTCCGCCCGCAGACGTGATGTACGCCGTATAGTTAGCTTGGCGCACGTCACGTCTCGAAGTGTCCCCCTCAGTGTTCTTGCGCGTACGTTTGGTGTGTCCAGCTGCTGCCCCTATCCACGTGCTGCACTGCGGCGCCATGTGGCAGACGCCGTTAGGTACCACAGTGCACACAATGTACAAGCAGTAGAGGAGACCCACCTGTGGCCATATGCAACCATCTCCCACCATATACCATGAGGATGAAAGGGGTAGTTAACACGGGTGGGGGTGAGCTTGTTGCCACGGGCGATGGCGAGATGAGAGATGCACATGCTGACGAGGATGGCGGGGAATATGGATGACGATACACGGGTGAGTAATATGATGGTATGATGGATGGTGTGATGATTGTCTACCCTTCGTTTACTATCCCAGGTGCAACCAACGTGTAGATATCCTGATGTGGCCCGTCGCACTTGTCGCACGTCAGCGCCCTGTACCCCAGTATCGAAACACAACGGGACGCTTCGCCTCGCCCTGAGAATACTTCCAGAAAAGCGGTGGTGCGTGGGATCGATGGCGCGTGGTCAAGTAGAAGGCGAACTGATGCCAGCAGCATTCGCCCACCATGCTCCAGAGTTGTGTCCTCTACCACCCCTTCAGTCCGAAGGCGAGCAGCTCCATCGACAGCCCACGCCATGCCTGCACCGTGATGCGGAAGGCCAGCGCGCCCCAGACCGCAACGCTGCAGGAACACAGTGGTGCTCAGATAGGGCCAGATATAAGCACGAGACATTCCTGGCCCACGAGGTGTTCGCAGATCTGTAACTGAGCTTGCAAATGAAACAACGAAAACACCCTGGTCTCGAACCGCATTCTGTGTGCATACACTGCCACGTCTCTCAGCAGTGAATTTAATGACTCGTCCAGGAAACACGTATACATCTTCGGCGACCCATGGTCGCTGATCCTGGGGCAGTTTTTGCACGCCGAGGTGAACTCGGAAACCTTCACGCCCAGACTAGCCCACGTCCAAACCTGACCCCACCCCCCTGGCAGACACGGCTGGTGCATCGCCCAGGCATTTCCGATGTCGTTGTTTTGCTTGGGGGAGACCGAGCTGCAGGACAGCGACCTGCTTGGGGCGACCGCGTCTAGCGGAACATTGCGCGTGCGATGCATGTCGCCGATGCGCCTGCTATTCGCAACACCCAGTAGTGGTCCAATACTCGGTCATCGTCAATCCTCCTCGTGGTAGCCTTCTACGTTGCTGTGCACCTACATCGTTCTACACACCAGCGTCGCCCAATCCCCGCCCCGCGCCCAACGCCCACGCGCCCTGTCCGACTTCCCCTCCCCCCGCCCAGCCGCGCCCGCAGCCATGGGCACAGCGCGCATGTTGGGGGGGGGGAGGAGTGTGGGCGTTAGGCGGGACATGGATGGGGCGACGCAGTGAGCGAATGCGCCCAGCATGATCGACAGAGGACCTAGGCGAGGCGAGGAGAGGAGGGATGTGGGAGGGAAGGAGGGGAGGTAGGAGGCTGGGGAGGGAGGGAGGGAGGTAGGGAGGGCGGGTTTGATTTGAACTATCCGCTAACAAAAAAAAACGCACGCCTGTAGATCAGGTGGCACACCAGGTGGTGCTTAGGCGTGTACGCGATGTGAGCCAGGCGGCAGCTCTTTAGGTGCACCCACATTGCCATCAGCATCTTGCGCATACTCTCAGGCGGCACGACGCGCGTATGGGCGCGCATCTCTTCCAGAAATGTCCCCAACGACAGCCCAGCATCAATCAGGGCGTCGCCATACGCAGTCCGACCACCGTGTTTACTAAGCAGCTCGTTGGCAAATGGCACCAGGTATCCTATCTCGGCGGCCTTGAATGACACAGAGCACCCAGGATGCATCCTGTCCTGCGGTCGGGGGGGAACTCGCTCGAACACTTGCAGACGTTGCGTCCCGCTCGTGCCTGTCGACCCCCATGGCTCTTTATATCCCGTGTCCCACCGTGTGCATATGCAAACGCGTGCGCATCCATATACATGTATGTATATATCTATAGATATATAGCAGGCGCGCCCACGTCGTAGTTTCAGACTCGACCGCCGGCCTGCGTAGTTTTACACAGAACATGTAGGTGCATGTGTGCTACGTAAACCTGCATGCATAGTATGCGTAGCGGCGGGCTTGACTTGTTATGTGCACGCACGTGTCCACCGTGTGCGTGTGTCTGTGCGCATATACTAATACCATGGGTGGGTTATCTATCTCTCTCTCTCTATCGCGCTCTCTCTCTCTCTCTCTCTCTCGCGTGTGTATCTACCAATTCCACTCCGACATATGCACCCCCGCACCGCCATAACCACCCTACAAAAACCATGTGGCGCCTACCCCCCGACATGCGCTGCAGTCGCGCGCACACGCGTTGGGCAGCACCCACGCGCACGCCACATTGGAAACCAGAGCGGGGTCCTGCAGCGACCGACCCTTGCGGTCCCCAAGCATCTTGAGCGTGAACGTGCCGACCCTGATGGAATGTGGTATGCAGTGTTGTTCTTGCCACAACTGAAGGTCAGCGTTTATGCGGCGGGAACCAAGCTCGAGAACGTTGTCCAGCGGGCCGCCGTACTTGAACGGATTTCGCAACACAATTCTCCACAATGCAGCGCTCACAAACCGTTGTAGTGGTCCGTAGTATAGGCAGTGCAGCGAATCTATGGCGAGAGACCGAACTGGACTGGTTCCCAAGTGCCTACAGAATAAAGGGCACCTGTGGCTCATCGGGTCCAAAACTTTGCCACCGACGCCAACTGTTTCCCTCCAGAACGTGATCGTCAGTGGAAGCCGCACGCGTTCCAACCAATGTGTGTCCATCAGAGACACAGATGGCTCTAACCTGTCTCCTGCTTTGAGGGCGATGCCGTTCACGATAAGGTCAGTGTCCAGAACTCGCCCGCCATGTGACTTCTTGGTTTTCCTAAACTTCAGCTT